TGGAAGGTTCAATATTGTAAAAATGTCAAGCTCTCCAAATTAATGTATAGATTCAATGTAATTACAAGAAAAATCTCAGCAAGGTATTTTGGTGAAAATTTACAAACTGAAAATTTTTAATTGAAATGCAAAGAACAACAAAAACAAAACCAAATCAGTATAGAAAAATAAACCTGAAGGACCAGTTTGTAAGACCAGGTAAACAAAGACAATTTAGACATAAGGGCAAACAAAATGGTCAGTAAAGCAGAGTCTAGAAAAGATCCAGAAATAATTAGTCACCTAATTTATGACCAAGGTGACCCTATAGTAGTATCAGGAAAAGGATGGTCATTTCAGTAGTGGTACTGGGCAGGCCACATGTGAAAAAGAATGAATCTTGTCTCCTATCTCACACCATACATAAAAGTCAATTCCAGATATATTGTACATCAAAATGTGAAAAGTTTTAAAAGGTAATTTTTAAAGAAGAAAACAAACAAGAACACCTTCATGACCTGAAATTGGCCAAAAAAGAAAAAATTTTCTTAAAGAGAACAAAAAAGATATCATAAAGGACAGGACTGGTAAATTGGACTACATTAAGGTTAAGAATTTCTGTTAATTAAAAAGTATAATTAAGAGAGTGAAATAGATAAAGGTATCAGTAATTATATATTCAACAAAGGATTTATAGCAACAAATCATAATGAATTCATAAATCAAAAATAAAAAGGCATCCCTCACTGTGATCTTTTGAAAGTCTGCCCTCAAGACAAGGATTTGAAAAGAAAATAAATACATATTTTAGAAAGAAAACAAAAAGCAGAAGAACCAACTTAAAAACAAGCAAGAGACTTACCAGGCACTTCAAAGACAATATCTAAATGACTAACACACATGAGAAGTAGCTCAGTATCATTAGACATCAAGGAAATACAATGTAGTGATGCTACTACATACCCAACAAAATTATTAAAGTAAAACAAGCAAAAAAAAAAATAGAGTTGGTAAGGAGGGGGAGCAATGGAAGTCTCAAAACCTCTGATCAGAGCCATAACTGGAACAACTACAGCTGTCTGCTGATATCTACAAAAACTAAACCGTGCATCGTGTATGACCCAGAAATTCTACTCCTAGGAATATACTCAACAGAATGCATACAAATACTCACCAAAGTCATTACGATAATGTTCATAACAGCACTACTATTAGCAGTATGTACTGTGCCATCTACATGCAATGGAATTCTATTCTACAATGACAATGAAGTTCTATAACTTAATAAGCAACATTATAGATAAATCTCACAAGCATAATTAATATTAAGAAAAAAAGGATTGTCAACTATTTCTTGCTCTCCTGGAATGAAGTCCCTCTGACAGCCTGTGTGCACTGCTCCCAATCGGTGGGTACATCTCCTGCCAGAGTCCAGTAAAAGCACAACCTAGTACAAGCTTCAGAACCAGCTTTGTGGGGCAGGAGGAGAGCCAGAGTGAGAGAATATGAGTATCATCAAGTAGAGGGAAACTCTGAAGTAGAAAATAAATGATGTTTTATTTATATATTTAATTTTCACCAGAGTTTAACAGTAATATATTAAAATTGTATCTGATATGAAGCACATAGCCATTTTGAAGGGTGAGGATGGTGTGAGTGTGAGAAAGACAGAGAGAACCACTTTAAGTCAATTTTGAACATATCACTGACATTCCAATAACTATGATCACATCTATTATTAGCTTTCTATAGATAATGATCTGGCTTTCTGCCCTGGCTGGTGTGTCTCAGTGGACTGAGTGCTGGCCTGCCAACCAAAAGAGTCACCTGTTCAAATCCCAGTCAGGGCACATGCCTGGGTTGCAGGCCAGGGCCTCAGTTGGGGGGTATGGGAGAGGCAACCACCCATTGACATCTCTCTTCTTTCTCCCTCCCTTCCTTTCTTCCTAAAAATAAATAAATAGAATCTTTAAAAAAAAATCTTGCTTTCTAAGTATCATTCTCCACTAAAAGGAACTCCCTGGGTAAGTAGCTGACTTCAGGTCTGGAGGAGGACAAAAAACAGAAAAGCCTAGAACACTTGTTTCAGAAAATAAAGACAATGGTTGGTTGAGGAGCTCCTTGAACAAACTTGGGAAATTTTCAACATTGAAATGAATCATGATAGCCCTGTCTGGTGTGGCTCAGTGGATTGAGCCTGGGCTGTGAACCAAGGGTCCTCAGTTCCATTCCCAGTCAGGGCACATGCCTGGGTTGTGGGCCAGGTCCTCAGTTGGGGGAGCTTAAGGAGAAACCACACATTGATGTTTCTCTCCCTCTTTTTCTCCCCCCCCCTTCCCCTCTCTCTAAAAAATAAATAAATAAAAGCTTTAGAAAATAAAAAGTACTGTATTTTTCAGACTATAAGATGTATTTTTACCACATTTTTTCATTTAACTAACAAGTATTTGAGTCCTTCTCATTGTCCCAGCCTAAACGGGCAGTAGGGAAGGAAACACAGCATCCTGGTATGAAACTTGGGGAACACAGATATACAGTTATGGCACAGGGAGAGGATGAGTGAATGCATGGAGTCTTGTCAGACAGGGAGAGAAAGCTGTACCATGAGCCTGAGCACTGAGGAAAGAAGATGCCTGCTGACCTGGGGTAACCACAAGGAGCCAGACCCTGCTGAAACTTCAGCTACAATGAGGGGACAGTAGACAAGGAAGAGGAGGTCAGTTGTGCCAAGATCTAACAGGTCTTCTGTTCCATGCTAACAAATCTAGGTTTCATCTATAATTGAAGGGCAGTAAAAGTTTTGACCTATATTCTTTTGTTTTGTGACATATGTCACACACATAGGAGAACACTGAGTGTGTTTAAGCAGGATCTTGGGTTCAGGAAAAAAAACTGAACTGCTCTGAGGAGAACTTGTTCAACATACTGACTTCCCTGCTGGCTGATTGATGCAAAACTATATCCCCAGTGCACGATTCTAAGTAGAAGTGCAATAAATACTTGCTGATAAAAAAGATAACACTGAAATTGTTCCAATAAGAGACAAAGACCTAGAGTCGTGGCCTGGAAAATGGAGAGGTAGAAGAGCTCAGATCTTGTAGAACAAGAAAATCTAGAAGAATGAGTAGAAGGCATGAAAGATGACTAAATTTTCCATTTTGGGTGACCATGTGATTATGGGTAAGCCACTAAACCAACTAGCAAGGTGGGTTTCTATTTTTTTGTGGGGGAGGGGGCTGAGAAAGAGCGAGAGAAACATAGATTTGTTGTTTGACTTATCCATGCACTCACTTGTTTCCTGTAAGTGCCCAGACCAGGGAATGAACCTGTAACCTTGGCACCTAAGGACCAACTGAGCCACCTGGCCAGAGCATGAATAGCAAGTTTAGAAAAGAACAGAACAAATTTGTTTATACCTATTAGAGATGCAGAGTCTATATTTGGCAATGATGTCACTTGGCAATATTACAAAACAGGAGCTTACAAGGGAGGTATCTCTTCAAAGACATTGCTACTAAGTGTTTCAGATGTATGTTTACAAACCTTAAATTACTGGCAACATTGCGATCAATTCTCACGTGAAGTTCCTTGAGTAAAGGCTTATTCATTGCAATAAGGTTTGCAATGACAAAATGTTTTAGAAACACCTTACATTCCCATCAATATATTTGGTTAAATGTCTGATCTTTTGTTTTCAAAGGATCAATCAAATAGAAGGTATTTGGGGGCAGATAATTTAAGTCAAGAATGAAATAGAGCCCTGGCTGGTGTGGCTCAGTGGATTAAGTGCTGGCCTATAAAACAAATGGTCACAGTTCTATTCCCAGTCAGGGCATGCGTCTGGGTTGTGGGCCAGGTCCCCAGTGGGGAGCCCATGAGAGGCAACCACACTTTATGTCTCTCTCCCTCTCTTTCTCCTTCCCTTCCACTCTGCCTAAAAATAAACAAAATCTTTAAAAAAAAGAATGAAATAGAAAAGGTTGATTGAATTTAAGTTCTCAACCCTTTTAATCTCTTCTACCATACCCGTGTCATAATAAACGCAAAATAAATATTAAGTTTGAGCGACCACCAATCACAAAACACCAGAACTGACAGATATTTTATAAGATCTGAAAAGCAAATTTGAGCATTATCCAAGCTGCATAAAAGTTCTTTACATGAAGTCTAAGTCAACCAATACTTTCATTACCTCAGGTTCACAAAATATAATTATGAGGACTAATGTTTAGGTAGCATAAGGAATATTGGGAGACATAGGATTCCCTAAATCAGGGAGGGGCAGGAGATGCCGTCTCTCTTTGTTGCCCAGGCTAGTGCACAGCCATTCACAGCTGCAATCCCTCTACTGGTCAGCAACAGAGTTTTGACCTAGTCCTTTCTGCCCCGGACTGATTCACCTCTCCTTAGGCAACCTGGTGGTCCCCCGCTCCTGGGTGTCACCACACTGATGCCGAACTTAGTGCAGGCACTACAACCCAGCACTACCAGGCTCAAGAGATCCTCCTGCCTCAGCCTCCAGAGAGGCTGGAGTTACAGGTGTACCAACTGTTTCAGGTTCCACTTCTAATTACCCTTTAACCACAACAACCATGTGAGATAAGTACAGGAGAGAGAAATCACCTGCCAAGAATTGAGAGGGAAGCTGCAAGGACGTTAATGAGTTTGTTCCACTCATATTCTTTTTTAATCTGTAACTTCCAAAAAAGATACATACTTACCCAAAATGAGGTATGATGAAAATATTTGCAAAATCACATTTCATACAATTTCCCTTTATCTCCATCAGTGCTATAGTGAAAACACTATTAGTTTCAGTTTCTAAGGCAAATTGTAAAAATAAGCTCATGTCAATGAACAAGAAATATTGCAGGTAGGTGCACAAATCTTTATAGATAATTTTAAGCAACATTTTACACCACAGTAAAAAGAGCGTGATTGACACTGCAGCAAACTGCCCCCCTCACAGACCACTCCCCCAAGTCCCACAGGTGTCTCCCGACCCTGGTGTATTTACTCACCTTCACAGGCACAGTGACACGTGGTCTTTTTTTCAACTCCTCGCATTTCCTCTTCTTACAGATCTGGTGGCTATACTGTCTGTTCTGGCAGTAAGTACATTCACCACAGTTTTTCTTCAGCTGGCACGGCTCGCAGACTCCACATGGTTTTCGTTTCTTCTTTTCCAAAGTAGGTGGCAAAGTTGTGCAGGCAGAAGTGGACGCACTGGCAGACGACCCTGGCCTAGACACCACTTCAATGTCGCTCTGGGAGCTCCCTTCTTCCGGTTTGTCGGGACCAGCCTGGGAGTATTGGACAGTTCCCTGTGAGGCATGGCAGAGTCCTCTCTCAGGGGCTAATGTAAATCCCTGAGGGTTAGCTGATAGAAAGCCTATATGTATTGGCTTTTCATTTTCTATATCGCTGATAGCTATTATTGCAGCTCCTGAATCTATCTCTGAGTCTGATGATGGTTGTGGAATGTAACCTGAGCCCAAAGGCAGAATCTGCATAGTGCCCTGGGGCCCGAGCACGTATGAAACAGTGTTTTGGGTAGCAGGCCATTCTGGGAGAGCATTACAGGGAGCAACTGAGCTTAGAGTAGCAGGAATAAAGACAGGTGGGTCTGAGGTAGCACCCCCACTCGTACCAAGAGTTTGCTGATTTAGGATAGCATCAAAGACCTCTCCTTGGACGGACTCAGCACCAGAGGTCTCTGGTGGGTCTGAGGTCTCATCCAGAGCCTCTCCATGAACTGGGCTAGCACAAGAAGCTTCCCACTGCTGCGGGGAAGCGCTCCCAGCCTGTCCTGAGACAGGGGTGTCGTTAGGAACTTCCTGCTGATCTGGGGTAGCTTCAACTACCTCCATACAATCTGGTTTAGTACCAGGGGTTTCTTCTTCTGAGTCGGCCAAGATAAATTTTAATAACGAGGTAGGATATACAGACCCACCCACAGACAAGCACTCTCTAAGGTCTGATTCAGATATAAACTTATTAAAGCCAGAGGTAGGGCAACAATCACTTTCACTTTGGATGAGATCCAGGTTAGAATCAGATAGATTAAGACATTCTACTTTTGAACCCAACTCTTCTACCTCAATGTTGTTGTTCTCCTCCGCGGTAACCTTGAGGGCTGCTCTTTGGAGCAAAGGACCATACAGAGTGTCCTGAGCAAATATGCCAGATGGATCACTGGTATCATCTGATGTCTCTTCAGGGGGTAGTTCTTCATCGAGTGTCCCTTCCAGTGCCCCAGAAAGGCTCTCTGCTGCAGGGTCACTGTGAGTAGGAACATCTACTTTGGAATCCTCAGCACTTTGGGGCCAGGACTCGGTTGTTCCTTGGCTCTCCCCTGTCACTAAAGAAGTATTTTGTATGTCAGTTAGATTCTCTGCGTTGGGACCATCTACGAGGTCTTGGGTTGGGACCAAACCTTTTGCTGAGCGCTTGACTCTGGTGTGAGTCAGCACCTTAGTATCGCACTTTTGTTGCTTTCCTGAATTCTTAGGAGGTGCCATTTTCTTAGGTTTGGCTACATCCACTGGCGACTGGGAGAGTCGCCTGGTAAGAGAGCTTCTTCGGAGAGTCATCGTGAACCCACTGCAAGCTACGGACTCAGGGTTCTGAAGAACCCCGGTCCCCTCTAAATTCATTTGAGCTGCTGCAGCTCTTGTCAGAAGGCTTCTGCCTGGTGCGGGTGGTGTGGGTTCCGTCTTCGTTTTAACGTCTCCTTTTTTAACTAATTGCTGCCTTTTGCTAGCACTCTCTGTCTTGATCGGTGGTATATTTTTCTTGGCTGGCTTGGTTGTCTTCTTCGATTTTTGGCCTTTCTTTTTCTTTAAACCTCCCCTCTTCACTACTCTGGAAGACCTTGTGTTGCGATGTCGAGCCATAGCTGTGGAATAGAAAAAACAAAAGAGCATGGGAAACAGAGTCATGGGTCTGTGGGGAAGTCTCACTTCTGAGGAGGATCTGGATGTGCCATGATCGGGCTTGCTTGCACAGGGTTTGGTCTGAAACAATAACATAAAAACATGGGGAGTGAGACTTTCCCCAGTGCATTATCTCATTTGAAACAGAATATTTACCACTGATTATTATTTCATATTGGGGAAGTGAGAATTTTTACTGTGAAAGAAAAATATAGTAAATAAGAAAAACCTAAGGTATTCTTTAAACCCTGTATTCACAATGACGCTCCTTTAATTACTTGTGAGAACTGCTTAAAGTTGATGAAGTTCTCTGAGAAAAGGGGTTTCTTGGTATTAGAAAACCACACTGTCGTCGTGACATGGAGTGTAAAGCTCAAATCTCAATCTTCACAAATGCGGGTACTGAAAAAATTATTTCTTAGTCTCGTTCAACAGCATATCACCACGCAGGCAAAGGTATTGCTTGTTTGACTGCAAAGCTGGTCTAAAGCCAGAGGAAGAGGAGACTTACATAATCCAAGAAGCTCTACTTCTTGGAGATCTAATATATTAAAACCACATTCCAGCTAACAAATTTTGAGCTGTTCACATGCACACAAAAATAGCATAAAGTCTAGGAGGTAGTATTAGCACACTAGGTCACAAGAAAGACTCACTGATCCAACAAGCATCTGCTGAGTACCTACTGTGTACAAGGAAGGCACCGTGGTTGGTGGGCAGCGCCCACACCCAGAAATGATGTGCCTCTTTTTCTCCTTCATCCCACTTAACCCAAAGACTGCTGGGTCTAAAATCCCTTCTACTACAAGTGGTCCCAAAAGTCTCATGTTGAATGCCTAGGCAAGGAAATTGGAAATAAAGAGAAAGTGAAATAATAGGAAAGGATACTAGACAAGCAAGATAAACAAGAAAAGAGAAGAAAATGAAAGGGGCTGACCAAGAGCCATCTTCAGTAACCTTTTCATCTCCTCAGATTGCCTGCCCTGATCCAAGACCAAACTCACCACACAAAACATATCCACAGACTCTCCCCAAGATCACAGAATCAACACTCTGACAACTGGCTGGGTGACAATTTGTTAACATGTGACAGGTTTGGGATTTGTGAGAAAGCATGGTATAGGAGAATGGGTACCAAAAACTTGTCTGCAACCAAGTGATCAGCAAGCAGTCTGTGGCAAAATCAGGGTGCAAAATGATGCAGTACAAAGATTTTCGTAAAGTCAAATTGGTTTGTTTTAATTAACTGCCTTTTATTCTGAAACAAAGCCTTCCTGAAGTCTTCTCTTTTGTCAAAAGATATGGGATAAGCTTGTTTCTTTTGTTATTACTTGGCAAAGCAAAAATTTGACAGCTCTCTGTCATTCTGAAATTCTGCCCTTGGTTTTGCTGTACTGACCCGATCCAGGTAATCCTGGGATTCACTGGCTGGTTTAGTGGCTTGAGCTGTGTCACAAAAGCCCTGAATCTGAACCTGTGATCACCGGCTGTGTCCTTCAACAAACCACTAAACTGAGTCACGATTTCTGCATCTGAAATGAAACTGTTTTTTCAGATATTAATGGACCTCTACGGGGAAAGCCTAGAACACTGGTTTTATCACTGTGATACCTGAAGCTGAAGGGCAAAGTGGGGTCAGAAGAAGGCCTTTGGAAGTATGCAGGCCTGATTTTGGTTTCCAGCTCAGAAACATTACTAGCTGTATAATTCTAACAAATTCCTTGGTCTCTCTATAACTTTAGTTTCCTTATGTGTAACTGGATAGGAAGCATATAATAGCGGCCCCCTGGGTTACCATAAGTATATATGATGTTATGTATGAAGCTGTAGCATATTGGGTGTTTAATAAATGGGGGGCTTAAAAAAAGACTATAATTTCTAAAATACAAAAAAAAAGTAAGAGAAAATAGGCTACCTGGTAGTTATCATTATTATAGAACCAGCTTAATTAACCCACAGTCTGCCAGATCTTGCAAAGTAAAATCTAGTTCTTTTTGTTTCTGTTCCCGCCCCACACACTGTAGACCATATAAGATCCCAAAGCATAACATTTAGTGTCAAAGCGTTTTGCCTATAAGAAAGACATTTGAAGTAGACAGTAATAACATTAGCCACAAGAAAAATAACATTTTGATATATCTGTGCCAAATATAAACACTAAGCCAGAGAATACTTCACTTGAGTTCTCGGCATCTAAGCTTACTGTTTTTCCTTTTTTTTTTACTTTTTTTTAAGTGTTTTGGCTCACACTAACTCTTTGGCTGTGAAAAATTATCAGATATTTTCTCTAAAGACCATTGCTTTTTGTACCAACATTTTTAGAAAACAAGCCATTCCAATTGCAATCTCCAGAAAGTTAGCGATCTTTGTTTCTTTTTTAGATAATGAAAAGCAATCCATTCCATTCTCTAGAAATTCAACAATAGCAGTATTAGCTTTCTTTATCTCTTGTGTCAAGATTATATTGCTAAAAAATTATTCCCTGGCTGGTGTGGCTTGGTGGATTGAGCATCAGACTTGGAAGCAAAGGGTCACTGGTTAGATTCCCAGTCAGGGCACAAGCGTGGGTTGTGGGCCAGGTCCCCAGTAGAGGGCCCGCAGGAGGCAACCACACCCTGATGTTTCTCTCCCTCTCTTTCTCCCTCCCTTCCCCCTTTCTAAAAAAAATAAATCGATAAAATCATTTTCTAAAAGATCACATTGTTAAAAAATTATTAGGAACACATAATCTAGATATTGTAATCAGCCATGAAAATTAAAATTCCTATATGAAGGCAAGTAATCTGGGTAAGCCAGAGTGTGTCATGGGATCTGGTTTTGAAAGTACTTTATAAATCAATCTCTGTCTCTTATATATTCTTTTATATTTTTTAATTGAATTGCTTTAGAAATTCAGACTTGTAATTAAGATAATGTTTACCATTCAAACCTTATCTCCTGAAAAAGAGCCTGGCAAGGAAATGGAAAAGGTATGAGTAACATGGATTGGAAGATGTGGCCTCTTTAAATGGTAACTGCCTTTTTATGAGATCATTAAAGAGGCCAAGGACCCCAGAAAAACCAAACTGCAGGGGAGAAACCACTGGGTACCACCGAGCCAGAGGAACAGACAATCAGACTTAAAATAAGGGCTCCTACAAGATTCTAATTTTATCACCCTTGGCTCTGCTAATGAAACATAACCTGTTTAAAGTGATTAACCAAGTTATCTCCAAAGCTAAACTCTAGCAGGAGAAGCAGCAAGATTTTGTTTTTGTTTTTGTTGTTTTGAAATTTTAGAGGAAAAAATATAGTTTATTCCATTAAATAGGTCCATATTTAAATATGGAATTATCCCCACAGATCTCCTTAAATTTATTGTGCTTAATGATTTGTAATTGTTAAATGCTCCATTTCATTTGTTTTTATTTATTATAGAGTATTTAAGCCTTATAAGAAAGTACATTTGCAACTGAATACTAATTCCATTTTTCATTTCTAATGAAAACTGTCATTTCAATTATTTCTCAAAATCAGTTTTATTCTACCCAGAATATATTCAAGAGCCGGAGTGCTACAGATAGCTATAGGAGAACATGATCAAAGCAGAAAATAAGAGATAGGTGTCCCTGCTATTAAGCTTATATTAGGCCTATGAGGGGAATCATATCTAATCAATTGTCAGAATCTTCTGAGTTCTAATTTTTCTGGAAAACAAAATGAAACAAACAAGCAAGATTGTGGGGTATAAAGTATTACATATTTAAACAATCTTTTTTTTTTTTAATCAGAGGGCTCCAAGACCCCTAACCCACAATAAAAATTTTTCCTTCTAAAATGTCCTTGTGAGATAGGGCACTGGAATGTATGAGACTCAAGCATTATAGGCCAAGCACAAAGAAGCCACTTAATCTGAAACACAACTGACAACGCTAGCCCAAAGTAGAGAATGTAAGACTGGAAAAGTGGCAGGAACAGGCTGAAGGGTGAATATGATAAATGTGGCCCGTGCAAGGATCTGCTCATCATTCACATATTATTTAAACTTACCTAGCCAAACAGGTCAACAAACAGGATCAGATTTTTGCCTCAACATTATTTGAGCTTACTAAGTAATCACTGTCTTTCCATAAACAGAGTTTTTATTTTATTTTACTTTGCTTTACTTTATTTTTTACAATTATCGAAGTGATCAAACTTTACTTTATTTATTTATTTATTCATTCATTCATTCATTCATTCATTACAATTATGGAAGTAATCACCTTGCCTAGAAAAGGAAAAGTTGACTTCCTAAATTGTAGCCATTGTCTGTGAAGGGCAATGCTGATAGCAATATGTCAAAAAAATCCTCTTCCACCTATGTTCCTCCCTCCTGCGTGTCCCCAAGTCCCCTGAGCAGGACTGGCTGAATGAAATGAGGTAACCACCCAGCCTGCACGTCAGCTTAAAATTATACTGCAATCCTTCTCACTACCAGCAGTGGCCAGAAAAGTGGTGAGTATTTGCATACATAGAGCTATCTGCAAAAGAAACACTGATTCATAGTCACTCCATTCAGCTCCTGGGGATTTAAAGACTACTGTCCTTGACTCAGAAATACAAGACTTAAAAACATTTCTTTTTAAAAGGCACCACCTGGCTTAGTTCCTCCAGTAACTAAGTTCTACATTTGAAGGAAGAGGAGGTGGGCGGGTTGCTTGCTGTTCCTAGATAGTTTTCTACCACAGGAAGTGTGGGAGCCTTCAGCACGTGGAAAGGCTGTTCAAGGAAACTCACTAGAAGGCCAGCAGATTTAGTCAAAGGCTCCTTCCATATGTAAAACAACTCTGCTGCCCTGCAGAGAGCAAGAAAAAAAAAGGCCAAAAAGGGCCAGAGAAGGAAAAGGAGAGAAAAATGGAGACAGAATGATCCTTCTAGAAACAAGAAAAGCATAAAACACATTGAGAAGAGAAAAAGCATTAGAAAATGTCTCAAAAGGG